GTACGTTCCTGCAGGACAGTCAGGTTCCCCCGAACCTGGGCTTCTCTTCGAGAAGATGGTGTTAATTGCATTGGGAGACCAGTTGATCAAATCCATAATTTCCTTAGTTTTGAAGAGCAGGGCTGAGAGAGTCTCTCAAGTATAGGCAGTAAGACAGTAGACTAGACGAGACAAAAAGTTCATGTGTGAGTAGGCAGGTGTCCCAATACTTTTGGCAATCTATTGAATCTAACAAAACAATCTGTTTAAGCATTGAGATTTCTTTTTGCTTTGTGGTGTTGTTATTCATCAAATGAAACTGATGTAAGCGGCAGGAATTTAGCACTCTTACCTTTGGTTGTTGCACAGGTTCACTACAGCAGGTGCTGATATACCACACTACAACGCTGATGAAGCAAGTGCTCTGCGTGGCTGCATGTTACACAGCCATATGCAGCCTCACGCAGCCATCACTATATTGGCCATGTAATCTGATTAATTGGTCAATGCCAATTGCCATGAAATGCTTAAAAATCAGCCTATTTTTTTCTGGCTGATCGAGCAACAGTGCCAGTCAAAGGTTTGGACACACCTACCCATTGAAAGGTTTATTTCTACTATTCTCTACTTTTTAGAATAATTATAGAAACATGAAAACTGTAAAATAACTAATAAAATAATTATGCACTGACCAAAAAAATATTAAACAAGCTCTTTGGGTTGAGACTCAAAGGTTGTCGGTAGTATCTGGGGGGGGGGGGGGGGCTGAATTATCATTGAGTTTGCCTGCATTATTATTGTGCTTTCAAACACCACACAAAATTTGTGCTGTCATAGCCAGGCCTGAGTTATAGTCATACATACAATTTACACCGTAGGTATGGTGTTGCTATGTACACTGTACCATAGCCTGACTCGCACCTCCACAGAAATGTAACATCACAGATTGTACAAATGCTAGTATAAATGCTATCATATTCTGGTGTAGGCTCTGCTTAATGGCAAATAGGTCGTTGATTAGTTAACAACCCTAAATCCCATGTTAAAAAAAACAAATGACATCATGCATCTTATGGATGCAAGCTGAAACAGTCACTGTTACCATATGCATGGTCCCTAAGATCCCATAATCATTTCAGACTGGCACACGTGGAGAAGGCCAATGAGGCGATGGCCATTGACATCCTGTTAATCAGCGATGAGCTTTTCAGGTAAGCATGTGCTGTTTCTGTGGCTAGAGCAGAGTGGACCTCAGTTCCGGGTCATCAGCATTTACGTTTGTCTCACCAGGCACCAGGATGTGGCAACCCGAGGTCGATACGTGAAGCTTGTGGACAGTGTGAGAGACAATGCAGGGACAGTCAGGTAATGACTGGTGCAGTGGGGAAAGAGCTGTTTGACGGTGGTGCCTTTAGAAAAGGGAATAGTCCAGTTAATGTATGTGTGTGCACGCTTCACATATAAACAAACTTAGGCATAAAAAAACCATCTTGCCTATTCAGTGATGTAAGAAACAGAGCAGTACTTCTTTTCCATAGCGCATTGGAGGGAGAGTAGCACATTTATCATCAGTATTGTTTCTCAAACCATGTTTTTGCTACCTCCCAGCTCCCCACCAGACAGTTCACATTTTTGCTGGGAGGGAGCAAAAATATGGGTGGGGTCCCTGGGGACTGAATTGAGAAATATTGATGTACAGTTACAATAGCAACAGTATACTTTTAGACTGAGGTCTGTCTATCAGTAGAATGAAAAGCTTTGTATTTGCTGGCTTAATACAAGTCACCACCTCAGGTCTGGGATCTGTAATACAGACACTCCTCTAACGAACTTTCAGACTTACGAACAAAGAGGAGTGTAAGTCCAAATTGTGTTCGTTGGGCCCCCGTTTCCTGTCCACAACATCAGTTTTTTTTTTTCTGCGTGCCAATTCCGCTGTAGCCACGCAGCAGCATAGCGTTCGTTCTACCAGCATCCTAGTTCCTTGTACTTCCGTATACCCTTAAAATGATGTTGAATGTGATGTTGGAAATGACTCACGAACATTTCAAGTTACGAACGGCCGTTCAGAACGTAACTCATTCGTAAGTAGAGGAGTGTCTGTATTAATGTTTTCTAATTCATTTAGCTTGATTGCAACACACCTGCCTGCCATTTATCTTCTGCTTCATGACAGGCAGTGCTTAACCTTTTTAACATAACATATTTTGAAATGTGTGCTTCTGCCCACAGCTTTCCTTGCATGGTGTTGGTATATGTAGTATTTTATACCTGACAGCTGACAAAACTGAACAGGCCTCTCTGTCACTAGTCTGTAAAAATAATAATGGCCACTGCATATGTCCTGTACTGTTTGTGTTCCAGAATATTTTCAAGTCTTCATGTGTCTGGAGAGCGTAAGTATCTAGTCTTTAAATGCAGGACATTTGGATGGGAATGCTGTGACCACCGCCGAGAAGTCCAGGTGACCTACCTCCTCTTCTTTCTCCCAAGAACTGAACCAGCTGAGTGGAGTTGCAGGCATTTTGCGATTCCCCATCGCTGACCTGTCTGAGCCAGAAGATGATAGCAGCTCTGATGAAGAATAGGAGGCTGGCGGGGTGCGAGAAGCCAGCATCACATCCGCGGCACATGGAATGCATGGAGAGAAAGGGAATGCGCACAAACAGGCGCAGAGAGGAGCAAAGCAGAAATGGGTGAAAACACTGAGTAATAAAACCAACACAGATGGACACACTAAGGGAAAGACACAGAGGGCATGGTTCACACACCATGGGAAAGGCACAGGGCACACAACTGACACTGTGGGAACGGCAATGGTCAGGAGGGTGCCACACACGTGTGGAGACCTTCATGATATCTCAGAGACTTATAAAGGGGTGGGAAACCAGTTCACCAGCAGAAGTGAATAGTGGACATTTGTCTGCTGTGTTTGCAGCTTTAAGGGATTACTTTACCCAGCTTGCCTATGACTACAAGTCAGTGCAACCTGAGACAGTCTTCCTGGTTGAATTTGTTTCTTTGGGCCATGTTTGCATGCAGCTTCGGTGATGGTTTGAAAAGGAGGATATTTAATTCTAATAAATGTATACTGATGGGGCACACAGTTGAGTGTGGCTTTTTGTACATTATATACGTCTGTAGAAGCTGGACTTTGCAGCACAATGTTACCATGTCTGCCTCTGGTTCAGAAGGTTGGTCAAATCATTGGATGGCATAGTGGCTCAGTAGCTTTTCTGCCTCACGCTCACAGGTTCAGATACGAATCCCACTCCTGCTGAGTCTCTCAGTGTTCTGTTGTTAACTCCTGCAGGTTAAAGACCGTGTTTGGTGAATTGGCACTTCATGAATCCCCTATGATGCCCTGGCATCCCATCAGGGCGTCCCCCTATTTATTTCTTATGATCTATTGGCATTTCTTCAGGATGTCCCCCTATGAGTTTCCTATAATGCTTTGGCACCCCTTCATGGTGCCCCCGGTAAGTGTCCTATGATGCACTGGCACCCCTTCATGGTGCCCCTGTAAGTCTCCTATGATGCACTGGCACCCCTTCATGGTGCCCCTGTAAGTCTCCTATGATGCACTGGCACCACTTCATGGTGTCACCCTATGATTTACTGGCATCCTTTCAGGGTGTCCAACTATGCTGCTTGTAATCTGCTCTGGGCTTCCCAATGGCTACGTGTGTAATATGCCATGTATACCTTCACATCTGAAGGCACCTCACACAGTGAAAAAAAAAAATCAGTGTTTTTAATGTCACCCTTGGCTTCATATAAGAAATGAGGACAGAGCAGAACTATTTCCCCATCAACTGGAAAGATCAATCACAACAGGGACAAAAACATTTCACAAATGTTTCTTTAATGCATAGACATAGTGGGGCACACTGCCTCGCATAGTTGTTTAGTGCTGGCACAGCAGACAAGCCCCTCAGAAGTTGGCACCTAAGGCAGATGCCTATATCACCTAGAGGACTGAGCAGCCCTGCTTTGGGCATGGTATAATTGAGCCCTAACATAACGAGATGCTGTATCACATTGGACCTCATTTGCTTGATATGCCGCAGACACAGAATAAACAGGAAGGTCTATGGTGACCACATGTAGACTATTTTTTTGGTTAAGAACGTTGACTGTCTGAATTACCATATGATTACAACTCATACTTCAGGAAGGTAAATGTTAAAACATAACAGTTTATGTTTTTACAGTATCTATTGGATAATTTCTACGTGATTTCAATTCTGAAAGGAAAGAAAATGCAGAACCTTAGCTTAATTATGCCCTTTAATCCTTATATTCTGTAATTCTCACTTTTGTGTAATTCAGTATTTCATCCTTTTAAAAAAAATGTAACCAGGACAAAACATATACTATGCAGAACAGCTTCCACTTCCATGCTGAATACAGAGCGGAAACCACGATCCGAAAATAGCATTTCTGAACATGCTTGGAATGTTTTGCTGCTTTCCCTCAGTTCTGAAAATGCTTTGGCATAGTATGTTTTAATCGTCACAATACAGAAGACCACTAGGGGGCGCCATTTAATTACCTTTCACCTGACATTTTAGCCAGAAAGCACAAAACGATGCTGTTACAAAGACGAATAACATCGTTGTGCACAAAGTTCTTCAGTTAATGACATGACTGCGAAACTAAAGTTCAATGATGACGTATAAATACAGCAAGATACATAAACCCATTAAAATGTGTTTGTTAATAATTTTATTCTGAAGCCCTTTTAAACTAACAACTTAGTTTCTTATAAAATTGTCTCTGTCCAGTTCTCAGTTCGAGTTTTTTTTCCTTCACAGTGGAAACTTTATATGAAAAAATAATACTAATCTTACAGCAATGATAGACTTGTTAATATTTCTATTGTTGTAAGAATCCCTATACTAACCATTCTTGTTACATACAAGTAGAGCATCTTCTCTGATGTGACACATCACCCATTCAATCTGGGCTGGCTCTATCTCAAGGAAATCACTGGACTCTTTACATCAGTGTTTCCCAACCCAAACTTCGGTTTTGCTCACTCCCAGCTCCCGGGAGCAAAATCATGGACAGATCCCCGAGGACCAGATTGGGAAAGACTGCTGTAGATAGCCATATACGATCTTGAGTTTAATGTCCTGATATTGTTTAGGTAGTCTGTTTAACCCTCTCAAGGCAGGCGTTGCTGTTTGCAACAGTTAAAAACTAACTACCTTATTACCCCAGATACATAATTTATGAGTTTTTTTTACTCAAAAGTACCACTGCAGGTCTTGGTTGTCCTTTAGCAACAAAAACTCAATTTGAGCCTGAAAGGGTTAAAGCCTAAAGTCATTATGTATGCTGTATATCTAATTGATAAACTGTAATTACTCCAAAAATCTGCATTTATAAATTTAAGTAAATTTATCCAAAGACAGGAGTTACTGAGATTTAAATAACGGGATGAGAAATATTTTTGCTTGTCTTTTTTGCTTAGCCGCAAGAAAACCATAGCACCACTTACATTAATGTTATTGCTAGTTCCCCAAAAACATTTATCTCACAGTCCCATTACTTGTTTAAGGTTTGAGTTACTGTCGTTCAGTAAAATTAAAGTAGACAAGTGCCACGTGGAAGACTGAAGCCGCTTATTGTGTATTACAATACAAGTTTTTTTTTTTTACAATCATTCCGTCTCTATAGCACTAACAAAATAAGACCACTTCCACTAATTAAATTATAGCCACCATTATTCATACAGATAAATAAGGATTAATTTCAATTAATGTGATTGCTTGTCAATACAGTTTAGTGCAAAATATCTGCTGACAACACATGAAGGACAATCAACAGTCTATAGCTCAGTGTCTGATCTGTCAGCTTCGTATTGTTTTCTTCTCGGTATGTCTGATTTGACTCGGTTTTGATTTCAGGATCATTTCCCCAGCATGATGTACCAAATCCAGCAGGGAAAAAACATGAACGTTATGCTGTTTTTGTAAAGTGTTGAAGTGTGTTTATACTTGAAATGCTGAGCCTGAGGTGGCACGTTGGTGCAGTGGTTAGCACTGCTGCCTCCCATGCGAAGGTCCTGGGTTCGGTCCCGGGTTCGGTCCCAGCTCCATCCTGTGTGGAGTTCACACTCCCTTCTCATGTTTGTGTGGGTTTTTGCCAGCAGCTCCGGATTCCTCCCACGGTCCAAAAGCGTGCAGGATAGGTTGACTGGTGAGTCTACATTGGCCCTGTAGTTGCGATGTGTTGGTGACTGCCCAGGGTTGATTCCTGTCTGTGCCCATCGTTCCTAAGATAGGCTCCGGTCCCCCCTGTGACCCCAGTTGGGATTAAGTGGTTTCTGAAAATGGATGGATGGATGATGAGCCCATAAGAACCTGTAGATTTTGGGAACCATTTTCCCTATAGAAAAAAATTAAAACTGTAATAGCCTGCAAATGCTGGTGTAATTATTTTTTTAAAAAGGTTACCAACCACAGGTGTGGTATCTGTGCATAATCATCCATCCATCCATCCATCCATCCTTTTTGTAACCATATATCATGGTCCAGGTGACAGGCTGTGCATAACAAACTAAAACATAAATTGGGCAAATTGGTTTCCATCCAACATGCAGTTAGGTTAAGTGGTGTCTCTGAAGTACCCATAGTTTGTGTTTGCGCTGTATGATGGACCTGCATCCCTCCTGGGTGTACTCCAGCATCTCCAGTCCCTCATGTAACCCAGACAAATGTAAGCAGTTAGAAGAAGGATGGACGGATGGAATATTCTCTTTTGTAGTTCATCAAGTTCGCTCTCCCGCCGTAAGGCAGAACATGCTTGGCCCTCGCTGTCAGTCTGATGGACAGAGGTACCCGTTGATCCACACAAGGTCGTCGACCACACCCCAGTGCAAGCACACAATGGCACCTACCACCAACACGTGCATGATCTGGTGGCTGTTGAGCCAGTAGTCGAAGAGGCCCGGGCGAAGGCGCTCAGGGAAGCGGCTGATGTTGATGACCCCCCCTAGCACAGCCAATGTGTCCATGGCGATGAAGTGGCGCAGTGAACTGGGACTACCAACGCCCACACCGAGGCGGCGCAACAGGAAGAGCGTTAAACGGAACAGGGCCTGCCAGACGAAGGAGCGCAGGCGGCGCATGCTATCCCGTGCTGTCACCGCAGAGTAGATGCCATAGACCGACAGCAGGATGTAGGCCAGCAGGGCGGCGCTGCGGATTGAGGGGTAGCATAGCAGCGTGATGTACACAATATGCAGTGCTCCTGTGCATGGAGGGATGGAGAGAAGGAAAGTTTCAGTTATGAAAACAGGACAGATGGACAGAAATCTCACAGATGACTGCAGTGTGTATAATGTGTTTGAATGTGAAAAGACAAGCACAGAAAATGCTGTTGGAGGCATGGTGGCTCAGTGGGAAGCACTATCTCACATTTCCAGGGTTGGGTGTTCGATTCTTGCCTCCTCTCTGTCCTTGTGGAGTTGGCATGATCTCTCTGTGAAGCCTGGGTTTCCTCCAGGTGCTCAGATTTCCTTACACAGTCCACAGGCTTGCAGTTAGGCTGACTGGGGTCTATGAATTGCCTGTACTGTACGGGTGTGTGTGTATGTATGTGCCTGACAGTGGACTAAAATGGCATCGAGCCCTGTGCTTTGTGCTGACTAGACGAGGGTGCAGGTACCCCAAATAGTGACCCTGACCTGGATAACTGCTTAGCAGGTGGGTGGATGTCTAAAGTGCTGTTAACTAAACCTGTTCCTAACAACCACAACACCAGTCACTCATTCTTCACTTACCCAAGAAACAACACAAGTTTCCCTAAGCTTCTTAAAGTGGCTCAACTTAAACAGATTCCTGCCCTGAGCTGATCTCAGTATTCCAGTTCTCCCAGCAGTCCCATGGTTCCAGATGTGCCAGATGGGAATGGGAGATGAAGTCATGGCCTTAGACAACCATAATACCAGGCCCCTTGTAGGATGACAACAGAAGGCCCGCATAGACTTGTTAAGCCACAGAGCCACAGTAAATATGCTTGACTGAAGCCTGTCCCAAGCAGGATAGGGCAGACAGGAGAATATCCAGGATCCAATGCCAGCCCATCACAGGGAACACACACACATTCCCATATACTCAGTTTTTGGACTGCAGGAGGTATAAGCAAGACATAAAGAGGACTTGAGAGCTGCCCACACCCAGAGCAGGGGCGGGATCTGAAGCTCCCAGCCTGGCATTGTGGAACACAAGAGTCACCCACTGAGTGCTGTTTAGTTTCAAACTAAACCAGAAAAGGAACCTAATAACCTAGATTGGATAGACCTCTGTTGAAGAGATTGAACTACATATAAAATTACTTATGCATTCTAAAGCCTTCAGCAAGTAGTACGACAAATAAAAGTCTGAGAACTGGCTGCTGGGTCTTTATTGGATAATTCAGAATTGGCCCTGGCATACAGCTGAACACAGCCTTCCTCCCACCACGGGGCCTCCTGCTCTTACCTAATGTGTTGATCATGCAGATGCCGCACATGTCGAGGGCCAGCAGGGTGTGGTAGACCGGCGCCCCGCCCTCATGGTTCATGAAGAGGTGATAGAGCACAGAGCCTATGTGTGGGGACAGGCAAGCCAGTATGTGAACCACAGCCAGCCAGGTGATGCTGATCTGAGACCAGGGGATGGAGAAGGGGAGCAGCACCATGAAGCAGAGCAGTGGGATTCCTGAGGGATATAAGTGGGGGGGGGGGCATTAGTCATCAGAAATGGGTTGTGGGAGGGGCAACACTGAGACACAAAGGGGCAATAGGCAGATAAACTCGTCACCTAATCCACCTACCTCATGGTACAGGTGTGCCCAAATGCCAACTCCACCCTGTCTGATTTAGTCAATTTCATTCCTTCCCCCTCCCGAAACTCTAGAGCAGCTCAATCACCACTAAGCAAGAGACAAGATGAACTAAAGTCCAATATGACAGTCTGATCCTGATTCAAATTACACGTTAATTAAAGGCAAACTTGACATTCTTCTTCATCAGGTGTCACCTCAGGGCAAAACTTGTGAATAGCAGTATTCACCCTAATTATTCCTCTCTTCTTCCAAGAAGTTTGGGATCCTTGTAACACACAACCCAGAATCTGAAGTCTTCCATTGTAAATTAGTTCACGGGTGACACACCTTCATTTTTCAGTTGTAAAGAATTATGATTCTACAATTGAATATCCAGCTGGACTGTGGAAGAAAAGACACATGAGGAGACCATGGCAGCTCCACACAGACAGAGTCAGAGGCTGAAACTGAACCCACAAACCCTGAGGTGTGAGACATCTCATTGAGAGGCTTAAACATTCACTTCAGTCATAAACTGCAAACAGTTAGCATATCACTGTGTCTGCAGCCATCACTAAGCCCCCTGAATTAATCCTCACAGTTCTTATGTAAGAGTGTTAATGTAATGAACTTATCAGATATTTGAGGGAACCTAGGTGCAGACATACATTGTTAGATCAAGGACAGGTCAGTGCAGTATGTGACAGCATTTAATAGGCAGACAAAAGGGTGGAAATTAAACCTTAATCCTTTTCAGACATACTCAAAACAATTTAGGCCTAAATGAACTCACATACAGGTGCCAGAAACTGTTTCACTGGGCTAACATTATGACCGAAACCGTTTTCCAGAATGGATGCATTCACACCAAAGTTCTGGAACCTGATTCCTGGTTTCGGGTCCCTGGGCTTTCACACCTCACAACAGGAGCTGGGAAGCGCTGGCAAGTTTCACCACTGGCACCGGCAACATTAGACAAAAGTATTTTGATTACTGATGGAATTTTCTGATGCAGAAATATGGAGGTGCAAGCAAAAAGGTATTGCTGTATTAAGTGTAAGTATATGGACAAAAATAATTCCATCTGCTCAATTTTTGCACTACTTCTATCTCATTTTCCTGCACGTCCAACTTCCAAGTTAGCATCGGTGCTTGTAGTCAACCAATCAGCAAGTTATCGCTCTAAGTAAGCCCCTCCTCTGTAGTTTGTGTTCAAACGAAAAGTACCTAGGAAATATCCTAATTCAGGCCTACAGCCTTGTAAAGTTGCATTTGCAGACCGAATGCATCATATCAGTGCGACAAGGCTGCCCCATTTCGAAGATTCCTTCAAAAACGTCCTTCTTTTGCCGAGTGGCAAAGGATCTACCCGATGGATCCTTTGCAACCTAACATTCCCCAAATTTTTTGGTTACTGAAAAAGTTCCCTGAGGTGTGAAAGTGCCCCATCAGAAAGTTTTGTTTTAATTCTCAGATGACTATATTTGGTTTATGCATATAGTTATTTGCTCTGTCATATTTCACACAGACTGCTTTAAAAAACACCATTAGCATCCCTCAACAGTCAAAACTCTCAAGACTGTATGGGCTAATAGAGACAAACGCAGAGGGAATCAACAAAAAAGTCACTTAGCAAGCTAGTTGGTCTCTTTGCTACTGGTATGTGCTGACTCATGCTATAGGGTTAGGGTTAAGTTCCCTGTTCATGCCAATGTTATGGAGGTGCAGGGTAGTATCATACACTAAGGGATATATTTAGGTTTAGGGTTAAGTCCTACAGTTTTATTGGAGTGTGGGCTAGCATCATAGGCTAAGAGTTAGGTTTAGGTTAAGGGTTAAGTCTCCAGTTCATGCACATAAAGTATAAAATATCGATTATTTTATGGGGTGTGGGCTAGCATTGTAGGCTAAGGTGACTGCAGTCAGCATCAAGTGATTTTGTCTGCTATTAGTAGCTCACCAGCCTGTTCTCCATTGGCATAGTTCCACTTCTTCAACCAAGATGTCTTTGTTTTGCAGAAGCAAAATCCCAGGGATCTACTGACTCCCCACAGCAGCAACAGAAACGTTTCTTCCTCACTTGGCATTTTGTTTCCTATGGAACTGCTTTCCATCCCAAAAACTGTATATACTGGCAGGTATGATACTATGGCCATTTAGCACAAAATTAAAAAACATCAAAAAATGGAAAAATTCCTAAAGTCTAAATGAAAATTCAATTGATAGTCCACACTAATACATTTATATTTAGTAACACAAAAATTTTCTTCTGATTTAGCCTTCCACCTGCACTACTATAAATCTTTTATTCACAGAAACTGAGAAAAATTTCACCACTATCCAAAAGCTAATGTTTCTGTAAATGCATTAGTGCTGATGCTCATAAATGTAAAAAAAATTGTTACATCAGTGAGCTTCGATTGGTTTGTACTTAGCTCACGACCCTTTTGTGGTCATCTTTCTGTTTCAATGTCTCTTTTCCTAATTGGTTACACTGTTAAATATTACAAGGATTTCACAGTAATTAACAGCATTTTTTCCCAAAAGAATACTGCATTCCTAAAAGTACTGTAAATCACTACAATATAGAGAAACTTCAGTAAATTTGAATTGTACTGAGTTGCATTGAATTATGGGATAGTAATTGCAACAAGTGTCAGTTAGCGCCTAGTATACATGATCAGCCTCTGAGTATCTGAAATAATTCAGCGTTTATAGTAGCTTGTAATTTATGTGATATATTTTTTCTGAGAATATGCAGTTTTGGTTAAAGATCTCGCCAGGATTATCAAATGAATTGTATGCACGGTGAAATCATACATCGTCAAGGTTAAATGTTCTGCTATATCTGCAAAATATTTCTAAGTAAAACTTAATATCTAAATACACAATTAGTGAATTTCACCTTTGCATACAATTTCAAACTGGCCCAGTTGACTTGCAAATATAAATAATCAGTGAATTCAAAGACTGAACCCATTTCAGAAGAAATAAATATATGTAAATGATCCATACAACAATCTATACATATGGTGCACTTTGTTCAGACTAGAATAACAGGTTAATGAGGCCACAGAACTGTTTTATGTTCACTATGTATAATCTAAGCTGCTTAAGATTTGTTTTATATTCTCTGCTTTTACAGACATCTTTCACAGTTGATGACATTCAGAAAACAGTGATGCTGCCGAGCACAGCCCTTTTGATTGTTCAAGGTAATGTTGATTGTTCAAGGTAACATTGACAATGCAAGTGTGCCTTGCATTGTCATATCCTCCTGAGACCCCACACATTCATTTATGTCCATTGTAGTGGACATTTTGTTTTTGCATTTATCTTTTCACTGATGTAAGGAAACATATTTATTCCTGTTGTACACTAAAGAGAACATGCTGTGAAATTAGAAATAAAAATACATTTGAAAAAATCTAAATTGTAAGATGTCTTATTTCCTCCAAAGACAAAAAACCTAAAATTGAAGGACACTTTTTTCCTTGGGTCTCAGGAGGATATAATCATTGCAAACTGTGTTTTAATACACAAACACACATACAGTCTGTCATTGTGTCAGGTCATTGCAGAGCAAACAGAAACACAAACACAGAAACCTGAAGAATCCATTGTGACTTGCGGTACAAGGGACGCAGGACCAGGATTCAAGGCAAAGCAAATGGGTTTATCACAAAAGGGACCAACAGGAAATAAACAAGACTATCTGACTAATCTTAATTTCAGGTGATGTGATGAACCCCAGGGCCTGGATGTTGTCCATTGAAGGACAAGTGATTATGGAACCACATAACGAATTCATCAGTGGATTAGCTGCAATGTTTGCAAGCTACTATAACTTTAATTTACAATATGCCTCATGTACTCTAGAGTTTTTCCAAAGGTAAGTGAATACATACAGTAGGCTAACATTGTTAACAATATAGAAAACATATGTTTATGTTTACCATTATGGAAAAAGTACTTTCCAAGTATATTTTAGGTGGATTACAGCACAGAATGCTGAAATTTAAGAATTTAAAATGTAGTATAATATGTACTAATATGTAAATTTAAAAGAAGCTAATTGTACTTTCAGTTAAAACTTCAGTATACTGTACTTCATTGAATGTTCACTGAATAAAATGAAAACAGACTGTTTTCCTTAATGCAAGGTCACAGTGATCATCTTCAACTCAGGGCACATACAGTCTAACCAACCACACACAACCCCAGCCAATTCCACTTAATCTACATATCTTTAGTTACAGAGAACATGGAAATTCCACCAGACAGATTTAAATCAAGAACCTTTGTTCTGAAAGACACGTTTTCACCACTCCATCACCATATCACTTACGTAAATGCACTAGAAATAAATTTATAATATAAGCATACTACAGGTTTAAGTTACTGAAATACGAAATACCTATAGTAAACTGTGTGTGTATGAACTTGATAACCAGCACAAAAAGTACACTCAGAATACACTATAAAGTACTTAAAGTATACATCCATAACTTCTTTTTTGTAAGGGTGATATTGACATTGAGGTATCTTGTTACCTCATGCTTGGTTTGCATTACTTTAAATAATTGGCGTATTTGACTTTAATTTATTTCAGGAAGTATTAAAAAGGAAATGAGAACAGCTTCTTGAAAAATATATAAAATCTGAAAGCCTTTGTCTTGTCCTTTTGGTTTCAGGTGCCCCTTGGGCATTAAGAACATAACCCTGATACAGGGACCAAATTCTTGAGGAAGAATTGTGTGGGCATAAACCAGCAAGTCTCTATACACCTGAGGAAAATTTTCGATTTTGAATGGTTGTCAAGGTAGACATTTGCTGATTGGACTCTCAATGATCACGTTCATGTTTGTTTGTTTTACTGTTTACAGTTGTTTCTGATGACTTTTAAAGGTTTTCACTGTTGTCTGACATTTTTCTTTTCAGATTGCATTTCAGATGCAATATGTTTGATTTAAAAGCTAAGGCACTATTTCCAATCACTTCCGTAGTCAAAACATTTTAATGTTTATTAAAATATGGTTTTGGCCAGAGTATTTTCTGTAAAAAGTGTTTTGTTTGCATTTCACATTAAAAAATACATTTGAATAAATATGTTAATTGGACATTGATTTTGTATTTCTTTTTATAAATTGCAGCTAACACTGAAATTTGCCATTTTAACTAGTTATATAATTTCATCTGTAAAGTTATAGTAAATTACTGGCTACTAAGTTGCATTACTTTTACAGTTAATATGTAATATCACAACACAATACTGTAATGTAGGCATAGTTCCTTACTCTAATTGTAAAGTAGCAAACTGTTAAATCACAGTAAATTTGTTCCATTATTACCTGTGAATTCACAGTACATTGGTGTCATTGCACCATACTATACTGTAATTATTGTTGAGTAAGTAATGCAACTAGTAAAGTAATGCAACTAGTAGCCAGTAATTTACTATATTTTTACAGTCAAATTCTTACAGTGTATTCTTCACACTTGACACTTAAAAGTATTTATTTTTCTATTTTTTCTATTATATTGTACCTCAGCATTTTTGTGTGGACAGAAAAGAATTTCATTACACAGAGAAATGGACTTTTCTACTGTACATATGACAATAAACACTTTGAATCTTGAATTGAATGCTTTGCCTTTGTTTTCAGGGAAGTTAGCCGCATGTGAACATGGAGGATGTACAGGACTATTAGGACACTATTAGGCATATGTTGTTTTGCTTACTTGTGTGCAACTAAATCGTCTTTTGTGTACATTGTAAGCTTTACAACTATTGTGGAGCTCAAAACGAGACCTGAGCCAAGTTTAAGTGCAGCTTATGAAAAAGACATCCAGCCATCGAACATTAGAGTAAGACAACTGAGTGCACTGAAACTGAGGGGAAGAGAGTGAGACGGGTAGTGACTAAATATCTGGATTCCTGTGTTGTTGCTGTGATGGTTCCTTTTATGTACAGCTTCGTGTTTGTTACACTACAGTACTGATATTTCGCTTTTGCTAAATAAATACTATACCATTTACTTTAAACATATGGTTGTGTGTGAGATTAATCAACAGTCAAGCGTTTATAAAACCTGAACTTTATTGCTAATCAAAGTCAAAATAAATGATTCGAATTATATACTTCTATAATTATATTAAAAATTTGGTTGTACAAAAAATGTGCAAATGACATGTTGTGCCCGAGTTACAACAAAAAAAAAATAAAGTATGGCACTTCTAAAAAATATATTATAAAAAGCTTTGGTTAAACGTGCGAATGAAAAATGTCAGAAATATAGTTTATACACTAACAACCACTCATAGCTACGTCATTTGCCTTTTACACAGAACAGTGTGAACAGAGAAGTTTCTTTCAGTGCTTGTGATAACTGTAATGTGGACGCAGATCTTGTTCTTCGTAAACTCCTATAATTTTTTTAATCTATTAGTGCGGACATAGCCTTGCTCCGTGTAACCCAGCAATCCAGCACAGTGAAGTTCCCCTCTCATCATTGTCACTTGAGTGCCTGATTGCAAATGATGAGGAACCTGAAGAAACCCAAATCTACATTGATTAATGTAGTGGTTTTGTCTCATCAATGCCTATTATGGTGGTGGCCGCTAGCCTTACAAAGGGCCCTGTGTTTAAGGGCACTGTTGTTGCAACCATTTAGGAGTGTGTGTCCACCATCCGGCATTCTCACATCGGCTCTTTCCGATTCTCCTCTCCACACTGTTCTGCCTTGAAGGTTCCTAAAGCACAGTATCAATTAACTTGACATACTACCTTAAACACATACAGCAGATCAGTCATTGTAATTAAAAGATTGCATCCACTTTAACACATAATATGGGTTGATCCCTCCCTGGAAATGGATCTCAGCTCAATAATATATTGGTTAAAGTATATTAGCTGTTAGAATGATGTAACAGTGGAACATTACATTGGCATTATGTTTCCTGTAATTGTGACAAATACTTTTTACAGACAAGCTTTTCAAAGAATAACAGAAAACTGGCATGAACTGTATACACTTTGCAGTACAACCAACTTCTATTTCGGTGTAATCTTACTAGTACAGTAGGTGTAATTTTACTAGTATTGTCATGTGTTCCAAACTTTCCAAACTGTTCCAAAAGTTCTCTGGAAACGATCACATGCACATGAGGAAGTATTAGTGCAATTTTAGTGTATTAGTGTAATTTAAGTAAAATATAAATATCCATGTAGTAACTAGAAGGAAAGCATACAATATAACTATGTGTGAATTCAGAACTACCTACCTACACTACAACCATCTTAAGATTTCATTGAGAACTTCTTGTTTTTTGGTTGCATTATTTTTTTCAGAGAACTCGCAAGGTTGTCTTTCTGTGATTTCCATGTTAATTATCTTGATGAACTGGACAAGGTTTAAACTGATCCATCACAAGACAAATGTACTTCAAATTGTACTTACACGTATAATGCCGCTCATTTCGAGATAAGAAATAGGCCAACGCTATAAGTCACCTAGCTCACGGGCCGTATATATGTTGTTTTAGCCTATTACTAGCCTACTAAATCAGTCGCACAAATATAAAATACAGTGCATTGAAAGAATTTGATTATTTGTTTTGTTATTTGGCTTACCATGTGTGTAAATGTTGCCCAGCTCGTTGTGGAGGTAGAACAGGCTTCTGACACAGTCCTGGGCGGAAGATACAGGGCGGTATCCCTTCAGCACATATTTGTTGAATTGCAGGTGTGGAGGTGAATTCGCCCATTCTAATAGCCTCGGTCCGTTAAAGAATGCCATATTAACAAAAACGGAACAAAAGTAATTCAATATTTGTGTTAACATTAACTTGCACAGTTCTTCGACAATCGAGCTATTTTGCGTAGCCCGCTGGATACTGGTTTAAATCCCTTACGACAAAACGCAAAAAAAAACATTTAATAAAAAAAAAACATTTAATGCCCATTTTTTTTAATAAAACGATGTCAATTAAATGGATTCTTCTTTCTTTTTTGCAGCGTATATATATGCTGTTATTCCGTTCCGCCTCCTTCGTGGATAGCGCAAACTATTTGCTTCTGTAGCTTTTAAAATTAACTTTTAAAATGCCATTGTCAATTCACCGGTGTTAATAGTCGATAGTAGTGCTGCAGTCCAGTATCCGATTGTATATCCCATCCTCTTTCCCAGCTGGATAACATCAGAATATCAAATGCACATAACTTTTCTCATCTGCTATCTCCAGTACATCTCTTCTTTATGTCACTGCTGTCACAGGACGATATAGCCGGCTATCGGGGACCGGGAAAGACAGACGTGGAGGCGGACCCTGTGCGGTAGGTGGAGAGGCTGCGGAAATCAATGAATGAAAGAACGAATGAATAAAAGAACGAAATGAAGTGGATCACGGTTAAAAAAAAATCTTTTTTGCCACTGGAACACCGAAACCCAAGACGCATATGCCCTGACAATTAAAACAGAAAATGTGGTATATGTGACATTTGGTATATTTATTTAATGTTTTACTTTAGGCACCTATTTTATCGAAATGGTAATTTCACTCAGGAGTGATGAGCAATTTTGTTGTCCCCCAAAAAGTCTTAATAAACTACTATGTTCTTTCGTATTGTGGCTCTATCATTTGCTTACTGAGGGTCCTGGACCATCTACACCCCCATTTCTGTCCATTACATACTTAAATGTGTATAATCAGCACATACATTGTGGCCAGTTTATTAGGTACACCTTGTTGGTACCGGGTTGGACCCCCCCTTTGCCTTCATAAGTGCCTTAATTCTTCATGGCATCAATTCAACAAGGTTCCTGAAACATTCTGCAGAGGCATTGGTCCCTGTTGACATGACAGCATCATGAAGTGGCTGTAGATTTGTCAGATGTACCATCATAATTATAACCTCCTGGTCCACCACATCCCATAAGTGCACTATTGGATTGAGATCTGGTAACTATGGAGACCACTTGAGTGTAGTGAACTCTTTGTCAAGAAACTAACCTGAACTGATATGAGTTTTGTGACATGGTGCATTATCCTGCTGGAAACAGCCATTAGTAGCTGGGTACACTGTGGTCATAATGAGATGAACATGCATGGTCAGCAGCAATACTCAGGTAGACTGTGGCATTTAAATGATGCTCAAATGGTATTAAGGGGCCCAAACTGTGCCAAGAAAATATCCCTAACACTTCCAGCAGCAGCTATAATTATAGATGCAAGGCAGGATGGATCCATGCGTTCATGTTGTTTACGTCAAACTCTGACCGTACCATCTGAATGTCACAGCAGAAATTGAGACTCATCTGAGCAGGCAACATTTTTCCAGTCTTCCATTGTGTAATTGTGGTGAGCCCATGCCCACTGTAGCCTCAGTTTCCTGTTCTTAGCTGACAGGAGTGGAACCCAGTTTGTCCTCTGCTGCTGTAGCCCATCTGTTTCAAGATTCAACATGTTGTGCATTCAGAGATGCTCTTCCACATACCTTGGTTGTAACGAGTGATTATTTGAGTTGCTGTTGCCTTTCTATCAGCTTGAACCAGTCTGGCCATTACTCTTTGAACTCTGCCATCGACAAGGCATTTTCGCCCATCACTCACTGGATGTTTTTTCCTTTTTTGGCCCATTCTCTGTAAATCCTAGAGATGGTTGTGTGTGAAAATCCCAGTAAATCAGTTTCTGAAATTCTCATACCAGCCCATCTGGCACCAATAATTATGCCACGTTCAAAGTTAATTATATCACCTTCATTCCTCATTTTGATATTTGAGGTGAACATTAACTGACACTCCTGCGTGATTTTATGCATTGTACTTCTGACATGGCTGTACAGACTGGCTAATTAGACGTTTCCTTCAATGAGCAGTTCAACAGGTCTACCTAATAAAGTGACCAGTGAGAATATAAGGACACTTTCAATATTCATTCTCCCTCTGTCCCTTACTTCTACTTCAGCATAATGCTTAATCCCCTTCAGTACATGACCACATGACCACAGCTTTCTGCTATAATTAGCCAAAGGAAGGCTTTGGCACATCAGGGCTAAACCAATTAGATTGGGAAGTAAGCCTTGTGACTCAGAACCTGAAAAGGGGAGCACTTTCAATCATTCAAGCAAAAGGCTCAAATGCACAGGCACCTCTCCCACTTCGCATGTCTTTTTTTGAGTGATTCAGGGCAAATTTAGACCAGTACACTTGCACCATCATTGAGGATCAAACTATATGCTACTGGTATTTCTTTAAAAAACATGATTAATGCTAAGTTTAGCATATGTGGAAAGTTCAGGTCCAGAAAGTAAAAATCCAGACTAAGAATTTGTTTCAACCAACCAGTTTAGTATAAAGAGTCACAGTCACAGAGTACTCAGCTGGCTGGTTGAAACAAAATTTTGGTCTGGATTTTTACTTTCTGGACCTGAACTGTCCATCTCAGTTTCACAACATTAATACATGCATGACCACATGCAGGCCTATGTATCACATTTATTAAGCAGAAACATTTAGCTTTACATGAAAGTATGGATGAGAGAGAAGGGATATGGACCTTGCTTAATGGTCCAACTGTGATACAATTACTCTGGCAGCCACAGGATTTGAACTCATGACCTTCTAGACATGGCTACAGATGTCACCCAGGTTATACAAAAAGCCTTTTTTGTAATTTTAGCAATGAATTTATGTTTATGTTAAATGTAAGTTTAATGTTATGTTATTTAAAAAATATTATTGAAATTTCCATGGAGATATTTACCTCTTTTGTTTCATTCAGTTTCTCACTCTCTTGAAACTTGAGGAGGTTTCCATACCAAGTCTCACTAACTTACATTGTACCTGCATCAATTTCTTGATTACTTACAAACCAAACTAAAATCTGATTCCGATTCTTTCTTCTTCATTTACCCAATTCACACTGAATTGTGATTCATTCATTCAGCTGTTTACTTCATCCATTTCAGGCAAAATATCATTATTATTTGAATGAATGAGTTGACCAAAAAACTAACATTGATTTGGGGTCAGAATTGAGATTTTGCATAGCATACTATGCAATTGCTTCCATACTTTGTGGATCTTTTTTTAGTATCGCATAGCACACTAACTTGTTCTGGCAGGTGAGGACACATAGCTTTGCATTTCTCAGTCGGAATGTATCACTCATATCACATCAAGATTTTCCAGCTTGGGTGGAATGTGCTCAATCTTCATTAAGGTTGTCAGTGTTACGATTAGTCTTTCCTATTGAAATGAATGAATGGTCCCCACAAAGATATTAATACAAACATGTATACACATGTACACACAAAATTAAGTGAAAATTTCAAAGAAATGTGAAAATTATATATTAGACAACTAAACTGCATTAACTGCATATACTGTGCACGTAGTTGCCTAAATATCCTATTTTAAATAAGGCTATATTAAAATATGACTAAAACTATTGCATTTTTGTCAAAACACTAAAACTAAAACTGCATCAAATTATACTGTCAAAATGAACAGCATATTTCCTAATCACTGGCATTCCTGCTGTACCTTTGCTGGGGGAATGTGAAAATGCCTCATGCACATTCTATAAACATTATTTTGCATGTTCCAGCCACTTGTTGAAGCACATATCGATTGCCTTTCTTGTTTAAGTTCTAAGTTTAAGTTGGACTGGCAACACAACAAAATTATACTATTTATGATAAAGGAAATGTGTTAATTGCCAATTTTTTAGCAGGGTTGTATTTGCAACAAAGCTGTTCTTATATTATTCTTGAATAAATGTACTGCTTCAATATATATTTTTTTCTGTTCTTATTATTATTATGCTGTTCATTTTATTTTTAAAACTTTTTTTTTCATTTAAATAGTAGTAGGAACTGCCTACTATGCCTGTCTTTATATGGGGAGCTGTGCTATCCAGTACACCAGAGCATCTATTTTTGTTTTACCATTTGGGGATGAAGGAAACAATGAAAAACCTTTGCTACTTTGGGGGTTAATGTGAATTTTGTGGTTTAATATGATTTTATATGAATGCAGGCTGTGTCCCTGGTTTATAATTCAGCTACATATAAAATCCATCTATCCAAGCGGTCATGAGGTCACCAAACCGGACCCTGTCCACCCCTTGGCAATGCCTAGACACCGATGACAAAAGGCAGCCTTGAAGGAGTCCAACACCCACTGGGAATGAGTTGGACTTACTGCTGGCAAAGCGAACCAAACTCTCACTCCATTTATACAGGGATCTAATAGTCCATAACAATGGACCCTTTACCCCACACTCCCAAAGCACCCCCACGAGACCCCCTGAGGGATGCGATTCCAAGTTCACAAAACACGTGTAGGCTGGTTGGGCAAACTGCCATGAACCCTTTAGTATCCTTGTGTGAGTGAAGAGGTGGTCTAGTCTTCCACAACCAGGACAGAATCCGCATTGTTCTTCCTGGATCTGGGTTTTGACCAACAGATGGACCCTCCTCTCCAGTACCCTGGCATTGACCTTCCCAGGGAGGCTGAGGAGTGTGATCCTCCTGAAGCTGGAGCACATCCTTCAGGCCCGTTCCTGAAAGACTGGGACCTCCACCTCAGTCTGCCAATCCAAGGGCACTGTGCCCAACCTCAAGAATCCTGAAGAAGCATATCAGTCAAGACAGCCCAAAAGCATCAAGAACTTTCAAGAACTCAGGGTGAATCTCGTCCACCCCCGGAGCCTTACCACCATTGCGTGTTTCTGCTACTTCAGGAGCTCAGCCCTAGTGATAGATGGATGGAATGGATGCTGTTCAACCGAATAGTTACTTCAGCATTAGTTCAAATACAAGAACTCGTGGCCATAGGTGGAAATTAGCGGGAGAACATTTCAAACTGGATTT